TTAATCCAAAACTCACAAGCTCCCCTCTAGTATTTCTGTCCATTCTCAAAGGTTAGAGAATAAATAATCACTTTCACAATCAAAAACATTCCGATTTCGAATGCGAAAATCCGATTTCCGAGCTGATCTTTGTTTTGGGCTAGGGACTCGTGGAGAATACCCAAATTTCAGGGGAGGGTTTGTGCACATAGACGATGTAGCTGCTGCACAAATCTTAGCAATGGAAGAGCCTAAAGCATCAGGAAGAATCCTATGTTCGAGTTCCGTGGCTCACCATTGGTCAGAGATCATTGAGATGCTAAGAACCAAATATCCATTATACCCATTATATATCCTCTGCTTTACTCCCAAGTATACTCCATATACATACATAGATTTCAAAACTTTTAAGACATGTTTTGATGTTTCAGGTGTGGTAGTGAAGAAGGGAGAGATATGCCTCATAGCTTGGACCCAAGAAAGATCCATGAACTTGGATTTGGATCCTTTAAATCATTAGATGAGATGTTTGATGACTGTATCAAGTGTTTCCAAGACAAGGGTCTAATCTAAAATCTTTCATTCATGATCTAGCTCCTGAGCAATTACTAGTGAGAGTTAGAGTCTATCTTGTTATCTTTTCCTACGTCGCATGTGACCTAGGATTAGAGACTATATGCTTTCTTTGCAAACTTTTATCAATCATCTCCTTCATGCCTTGTGGAGTTTTATTTGGACTGAGTAATGAGATTGTTTAACTCATGGATATTGTCACGTGTTTGGCACATTGACATGTCCGTACAAAAGAAAGGTACAAGGACACATGTCAGTCTCTCTCTCTCTTATAGTCTTTTACACAGAAGTAGTGGAGAGAATGCCACGAGAGTCTCCATTACATTTTGCTCGCTCATTATTCACCTTTAATAAATGCGATCCAGCTGTTATTTATGATTTGTGACCATGTTATGTATTGAAAAATCGACACTTTACTAGTTTGTAAAATCTCAACCTCGGTAGTTTCCTACCTGGCGTTTTCTATCTCAGTGGTAGTAGATTTTATTTTCTGAACAGACAACATTAAAAGAGAGGTTTTAAGAGACAAAAGAGCTGAACAAAGACACAAAGAAAGAGATAAAACATACGGACTGAGAAAGATGAGATAATGTGAAAGCCAAATCTCGTGCCAAAAACCTCTTTGGGCACATGAAAAATCCAAATGAGATCAAGTCACAAGATCATG